CTATGAAGAAGCACAGGCAGACCCTCAGTGGGTTCTATCCCTGGCCAGGAAAATGCAGGAGAAGCAAAGATCACCCTGCAGGAACCTCAACCCTCCAGGCACCATTTCCTGCTGGGCACAGCAAATCTTTGTACCCTCCATGGGAGAACATCAATTGCCCAATAATCAGAAACTCTGATGGGCACCAGAATCACTGAACTCCAGCTCACAGCAGCAGCTGCAGCTTTTCATTCAACACCTGACCTTGTGTGAACTCCTTTACTCTACACCAACAGCTTCAGTATTGAAATTACCAGCACAAATATCAGTGCAGAATTCTCTGCACCCCACCCCCCACCCAGAATTTCTCCACTTTTACAGAGTGTGAAGAAAAAACAGCTTTTGACTGACAAACTCCTCCTGCCAAAACAGGGCACGTTTTCATTTCTAGTTGCAGGAGTTGGTGTCAGGCTGCTGGATTTTACTGTGCTGCTCTGGAACCTGAAATGCAGGGAGGGCCTGCCAGCAAACACCACCTAATTGCACTAATTTCTGCTCCTAATGAAATTGGGACAATCTGGTGCCCTTGCATTTGTTTCATTTGTGCTCTGGCCGGAACCAGTGCAGGGTAAATGGATTAAACACTGACTAAATATTTCTTTTATTCTGTAGGACAGGCCTGTGTTTGGATCTAATGACAAGAGCTGCAGTGGGCTCAGGTGCTGACAATTCCTCCCCCATGGATCTTTTCTGCAGAATGCAAAGCCAGCTTGATCACTTTTGCATTTATGAAATGCAGAAACTCAACCTGGGCAGTTTTCCCATTAAATATGCTGCAATTAGCACACAAAGCATCTATCCATGAAACCAGCACTGGGTTAAGTTCCCAAATGTGGATTGATTCAGACATTCCCACACTGGATTGCACAGTCCCACATGTGCCACAAGCAGTGAGCAGTGCTCAGGTCCCAGCCACACCATGGATGCCTGTGCAGGAATTCCCAGTTCCCAGAATCATCCCCAATTTGTGGAATTCCCCCACTTTTTGTGCCATTCCCAGCTCCCAGAATCACCCCCAATTTGTGGAATTCCCCCCATTTTATGTAATTCCCAGCTCCCCAGAATCACCCCCATTTTATATAATTTCCCCACTTTTTGTGCCATTCCCAGCTCCCAGGATCACCCCCACTTTGGCCACCCTTGGCCACAGATTTAGGAAGGCTGGGAGGGAAGCAGATCTCAGGAACAGGGAAGGCACTCAGTGACTCTGTCCTGCCAAAAATGTAACTCCAAAAGCATGGAGAACACCTGGCATTGGTTATTTCAGTTCTCCTTTCATCCCAGGCCACACAGGAGATGTTCTTTGAGGCCCCAGGGCTCTAAAGAAAGGCAGATTATTCTGCTTAAGCACAGTTATCTCCCAAGCCACTGCAGGCCCAGCTCAAAGCCTAATTAGAGGCTTCTTAATTGATCAGCAGCCTGGAACAGTCTGGAGCTGGTGAAGGGTAGAACAGCAGAGAAGCTGTCCTGGCAGACCATAATACTTCACTCCTTTGCTCACTGAGGTACCAAAGACTTTTCTTTCCTTGAGTGAGGAATACAAGGGACACAGGAATTCTCTGTGCTAATAAAAACCAGGGAGTTTTAAAGGACTCTGAATTCTGGGGAAGCTTTTATGGGCCCAGAAATGAGGGA